CCTCGGTCACGTCTATCTTCTTCACAAGTATTCTTCTGCCAGGTACGATGATCCTGATCAGATCTCTCTTGACCAGATGTAGTGGTCACACAAACTCGGCGGCGATCCTTGTCTTCATCCGATCCAATCGAGTCCGATTCCGATCCGCTACTTTCGATCCGCTCACGGATTGCCCCCACCGCCCGAGTGGTCTTGGATGTCGTAGGATTTGGGGAGGCATTCGCTCGCTGGTGGAACTTGTTCAATCCTGTCGACGTCTTCAGCTGACGACTCTCCATCCTTTGGCATGCACGTAACGTCTCATTCAACATATTGACATCGGCCAATCGTAGTAGAGTCAGCTGCTTGGCCAGATCGCGTTCGTATAACGTGGCATTGAAATGTTCCACATGCTCACGACGTGTGTTTGATGTACCCATCCTCTCGTCTCTACTCGCGATCTTGGCATGCTTAGCCGCGATATTAAGGCGGTGTAGATACTCCTGTGGATTTTCATCCGATCGTTTCCGTGCGAGATAGTATTGTCAGGCCAGAGACACACCTTGCCCTCCATACTGTACCATAAACCCATCCAGCAATATCTTCCACTTCTTGCGATCGGATCGACCTAGTTAATTATACCAGTTTCGAGCGGGTTCTGTCAGCAGATCTCCGAACACCAAACACTTCTTCTCATCGGGTGCTTGATCGCGCAAGAAGGCCGATTTGACCTTGCTGATCCAGCTTCTGGCCCGATCTTCATCTCGATCCTTGCTAATGAGTTCTTTCAGCTCTGTCATCGCTGACACTCGAATGTGTAAAGGTATGCTACCACCATCTTGCAACGTCTTGGTCGTAGCTTACATAGCGTGTCTACGATCTTCTTGTCCCAAATAATCGGGATCGATGTCGTCAGGGTCGAAAACCTCCGATTGACTGATGCGCGACTGCACCGACTCCATCTCTACATCGGGGGTATATCTTTCGCGAGATCTAGCGTGCTTGATCCTTTGGCTGGGGTAGATCGCTTGATACGCTCGTTCCCGTTGATTTTGGCGAAAATGTTCCAAGGCCTCATCGAGGTATGTCTGCAGGAGTCCTCGCGTAGTAGTCGTCATCTGCTCTTTAGCGCCTGTGGCCTTCGATCTCGAGTTCAGCTTCACCGACTCGACTCGATCGCGTAGATGTGTTGCACCACTTGGGCCTAGAGACATTCGCTGGATGCCGACCGAAATGTCCGACTCCATCTCTTATTCCGCCAAGGCATATTGCGACGATCCGGTTTTAAACTCCCTCCGGACATCGCCGATCGTGGCAACCGCTTGATCCGCGGATTCGCGCTTCCCCGTCAGAGAAATTAGCTTGTCATACGTCGATCGACACGCAAAGATCACCTGATCCTGATCGCATTTTAGCAGTGCGTTCGCATCAAACGCCCCAGCGACGTATCCAGCATCTAGTATCTGGGTGATCGCGTTGATTCCTTCCAGCGAATTAGTTGCCGCCCTCGGTAAATTTATCGGGTCTTAAAATTTTCCGATCAGCTTGGGCTTCAGTATCCTTAGCACGGGTCCCTCGATGGCAGGTTCTTGAGCGCCTTCCAACGGAATCCCTGCGCCAGTTGATCCAGCTGCCAGCCTTCCATCTTCACATCCAAAGCATCGTCCACGAACTTGATCGATTTCACGATCGCTTTCACGCCGCGATCATGTCGATCCGATCTGGGATCTTCTTTTTTTCACTCGATGTGTCTTCAAATCGTCTTCTTTGACATTATCTGAGTGGTCTTGTGTAGTTTTTGTTCAGTTTTTGCTGAAAGGTTTTTACCCAGCGGATTGTGTTTTGCAGCACGATCCGCGGTGGTTCCCAAAGGGACCATAGGAGGTTTATATTCCGGATCGATTGATCGATCTTCCTCTATGATTTTCTTGTCATCAGAGCCCCTCCCAAAACTCTGATAACCCGGGGATCCTTTAAAATCACGCGTCGGAGGCGATCCCTTTGCCTTAAACGCTTTCATCCTAGGTTCAGTCTTTACTTTAACTTTTTCACTTGGGGACTCGCGGTGAGATCCCGAGTTACCAGAAGTTAAGGGCACGCGCACCATTGTGGTGGAGTGGCGATCGCCCAATTTAAGAGTCGATCCCAACTCTCCACTGGTGCCCGGATGACCGAATGATGGAGGGGGTACTCCGATTCCGTGTGTGTTGATCTTCACCTTGTGTAAATATTAGATAAAGTGTGATTACACGCGGGAAGCCTGGTTTGGTGGTGAAAAGACCTGTATTATTTGTGACTTAAGCGACTCCCATTAGCAAAAAGGTTAAGTTGACCGCCATGTTGCACGTCAAAGCATAATCTCTGGATCTTCCATAAAGCTTTAAGATACCTAGCGAGAACTGTTGATGTTTGAGCTTGATCAGTCATGATATCATGGTCATCTCTATCTCACGGAAGTAGATGATGAGGTTTACCCTCCATATCGAAGTAGTTTTTAACACCCACTCTAAGTGGACGAGGCCCAGCCTCTTCATCTGGAACAAACACATAGCGTATAGGAATAGCTGACGCCATCAGTCTTTCCTCTTTTTATCAAAGAACCGACTCATGCTGCAAGAAAATTCACACACGTGCAGTCAGCACCTCCGGGCCTTGAGATACAAGCAATTATACATACTCCAGACCTAAAATGCAATTAGCTTATCCAGTGATTTTTTAGGCCTCAGAGGTATCAGGGAGATTTTTCTATCATCACCGAGGATCATTCCTAAAAGAAACAGGCGTCAAGTTACAACTAGTGCTACGAAGTGCAGTGAGGATACACAGCTCCTTCGGTTAGAGGAAGAATCAGTGCTCAATGAGCGATATCAGTTTAAGGAACTAGACTCTTTGGATCAACAAGCGTAAAGCTTAAGGTCCCTGTAACAGATAACCGTACCTTCAGTGAATCTATAACACTTAGTGCTCAAAATTAGCTACCTCAAGGAGGTGTTGCTGACTCCTAATGATCTACGATCAGAGACGCCTCGCAATGCACGTATCGCAGACAAGATCAAAAGGGAAACTGACTTTATTTACGTTTAACTCACTAGAATATATTATTACCAACATTACCATATCGTGGCATTCATGTCCTCAAAGATCTTCAAGATCTTTATATTTTGTGGCTGACGCTCGTCGGCCCCTACTAACTGATGATCTATTACATGTCCCTCTCAGCGGGACACCCTCCCGTTTTTCTACGACACTCGGTACCGAGTACCCTACGATGTGTAACTTCATTACACAGAGACTGGTCAACGACTTGAAAGATAATGGCAGCGAGGTGAGGACCTGGCAGATGGGGGCAGCAATGTGACGACGTGACAGTTGGGGCAAGACGACATGGCTGCGACGCAGGACCACCGCATACTATAAGCAGAAGGACGAATGCTATCGATCAAGTGTATGGTCAAGTTGCAGTGTAGTCCAGGTGCATGTAGTAGTTTGAAAAAGAGAACAGTAAATAAATGCTTGATGTATTCTACTATTACTTTTTAACTACCTTTGCACTAGTGCAGATCAAGACGCCTCGTGAATTACAGAAAGTGCAGTCTTTTTACTATATTCACGGTCTCAGCACACCGGTGTGTTCGGTTCAAATGTTGAAGCTCGTTTGTAGAAAACCGCATACCGTGACGATCCCGTTGCTATGTCTGTCAAATACTGAAATGACCCGTCAGGCATGTGCCACTTGCAGCGGTGTGGTCACTACAGTGGTGGTATTCTATCGACCGTTATCTCATCCTCTGTGTGGACAGATGAGATGATTACATGCCAAAACAACCACGACAACATGCGCTCCAACTCGCTTGACCTATTCGCAATTTTGCTACTTCCACAGATTTCGCATTTGCAACCATCGTTTTAAACACTTAAGTCGTCTTCGGTTCCACCAGAGCCATTACATGCACCGTGATGTCTTTCGCTCCTTTGCGATTCTTTTTGCGATGATATACCGGTAGGAATAACTTGAGGAGGAAAGCAGTATATTGCTTTTGCGGCTCCTTTTGTCAGTCGTTACAGTTGGTTATTTCGTGTGTCAGCTTTTACAGTTAATTATTGACTCGTCTGCTCCGTGATTTCTGCTTATTGTTTTTTTGGGATGCTACAGCACCAGAGGCTTTGCTAGCCATGCAGACGCATACTTTCTCCACTTACGCCATAAATTTTAACCACAAACAAAGATCGACAAACCATGCCCAGTTTACAAAAGTCTTGCAGCGCGTAATTGTTGTCTTAGACAACACAAAGAAGCTAATTATAACGGCCGACTTGATGCGGTACATTTATACGTGTCGTATCTAAGTATAACCTAAGCGTCGGATACGTAACCTCTTGATGTTATTCCGCAACCTATAAACCGCATTTGCTTTATATCCACGTAAGCTCTTTGCTGCCCAATGACGAGGTGATGCCATTCTCGAATACTAAAGATGGACTAAAGAAACTCCGGTTGCTCACATCTACCACCAACATGTGTCGAGCGCTTTTTGCCTCCTTAATGACCAACTGCAGTAATCATCGTGAATAGCTAAGACGGTGCTAAGGTGATAAATCCAGTCGCCGTAGTAGAGTGATGTACGGAACAGAGTCAGCACGAGTCACGAGCTATGCAAACGAAAAGCATGTTCAGCTGCTGAAATTGTGTATGTAAGAGGAAGATAGACTAGCTTGTCTTGCAAAAACCTCTGGTACTTTGCCTTTATATTGCTGAAGGGGCCACATGTCGGTGTCGCGGTGTATTGTCAGCATGAGCACGAAACCTGAGGCATCAAGGGATAAAGTATGTTTCTCAACAACACTTCACTCAAGCAAGTCGAATGAGGGCAGCTGCAAGATATAAATGAAGCCAGCGATTTGATAGATCGTACGGCAGATCGGAGCAAGACATCAGCGGATCCAGCTTAAAATTGTGCTGTTTTTTTGCTCAAAGTCCCACGTACAACAGTAATAGGACTTTGCATGTAAAGTGTCTGAACTTACGAAGCAAGGTCGGTTGGTGGCGTTGGAAAAGCATCCAATTCTGCTTGGATTCCATTCAGCTGGAGAAATAACAACCGCAACTCTTCGTGTGAAAGCTCAACGTCTAACCTCTCAGTCTGCACGCACGTGTTAGAATAATCTCATAACTACCAAAACCTGGCTCATTCCATCCATACCTGCTTCGTCTTCGATCGCTCGTCCATCACGTCCAGCTGGAATATCGCCATTGGCTGCAAATATCCCGCACGCTTGCTGCTCCCCATTTGCAAGTGCAGACGCCAGTCCGTCTTTTGAAGCACCAGCGAGGGCATCCTGACCTTTTGAGCCGCAACAGCATGCTCTGCTTCTACGCTTCCTGCATTTTTCCATGCCTTCTTTACGGCATGCACCACGTTGTCGTTCACGCCATGCGACAACAATAAGTTTTGGTCGATGTGTCGAAAAGTAGCAACATCTTCGAAAACGTCCTTAGCGACGTACACAATGTCGTCGATGTGGTCGTTCTCTAGCTCCATCATAGACTTTATCTCTTTCTTTTCCCAGTTAGTGAACACTCCCGAGGCCTGCACCACACATTTTGCACCACAAAAAGGATTTTGAAAAGCACTTCATCATGACGATATTTGTACATGACACGTACACTGACTGCCATATTCTCCAGCACGCGAGCTAACACTTTCTCCAGCTTACATTGTGGGAGAAAATTGAGTACGGCAAACGAGGGTACATGACGAGGAGATGCAATAGCTTCAGTTCCAGCAGCAGCATCACCATCATTGCGACTCGACATTTTTCAAAGTAAAATGACCGAAAATGGTGTGAGCACCGTAGGCACCAAAACGATCACAAAACTCAGGATATTGTATCGTAAGAAAAGCGTCGGGGTGGGCTAGTCGTACGATGTAGGAGCAGACAGACTGACACCAAATGCTTAACTGTCTACGAAAGGATAGCTATTGCACCAAATCTGCACTCAAAAGCCCTTTATATCGTCAAAAGCTTCCTGCGCGAAAGTAGGCCATTTGGACAGGCATTCGGACGGTGTTGATCACGTTTACCCAATCGTGCCTTAGTTGTAGCATATCGTTTACGATTTACGTTTACGATTGGTGGTCTGAACTGATAATCATTCACTACCCTGAGCACCTGTCAATCACCACGGAATTCTATGTGAACGCATCGGGGCCAGCGCTGCAGAAGGCAGGACGGTAGACTGGATTGTTTCACATTGAAGACGGTGCATTCGTTAACATTAAAACTCTTACTGTCCACTCTGTACATAAACTCCAAGCTGGAGTTTATATAACTTTGCATTTTAACAGGTGGAAACGACAACAACGACAACCACAACATCATCAAGACGAAGAAGCATTGTAACAAGCAAACATATTGACGTACTTGAAGTTTTTTGAAGTAAAACTGATAGTGTCTCGAGCGTGAGGGAACGAAATAGGCATGTGGCGGCGGCTCAGGGGGGGGCTGGATATGATAATGAAGTATACCAGGTATATCTGTTAGAAGCTATACACTCTTTACGGCGGCGCATGGACGTATGAGGGAGGGGCCCTGTGCCTGCTTCGTCAAGATTGAAGACGGCTGGTGGAATCCACGCGGATAGTTCTGACGGGACTTCACTGGGGCAGTCGAGGTTCGTTTATTGCTTGCTCAATAGAGTAGGTCAAAGCCGTGCTTCGGCAACTTAATTGAATCCGCACAGAAGGTTAAAACCTATACGGCATTCTACAGCAGACTACAAGCTCGTCTGATTCCTTCTCAGTGTCTCCGAATTAACGTTTTGAGGTAACAAATCAAAAGGGATGCAGGCCGTTGTTTTTAAAGCAAAGAGCTTTTCTGTGACGATGACTATAATCCAAAAGAACCTGGTGATTTTCTGCGAAATGCCCGCATCCAGATCGTTACTTCCCGTATTCTTTTTTGTATGTATGCCCTGGTCTTCCTTCAAAGTTCGGACAGTGTAACATTGGCCATCGTGCCTCGAAACCACCTTTTTGTTCCTCCAACTACCTTAATGCACCGCTGATTTCACAGCTACGAATCTGACCAACGCCACGGAGAACGTCGCTATCATGCGCAAAAGGTCCCGCTGGAATGCTTCTAAAACATTACCTCACTACGTGCCTCGTGTCGCATAGCTAATAATACGTTGTCTCGTGTCGTACAGCTAATGGATAATAAGTTCGCACAACGTATGTGCATGTAGAAACGTGTACCGACACTGTTCACAACGTTGTATTGGATATTGTTTCGTTGCATCACAGTGACGTAAGTGCGAGATATCGGCGACAACCTATCCGCAATCAGCTGCGTAGCCAGTAGCTATGCGACCCGAGGAAAGTAGTAGACGACAATGCAGCACTCAGGCTCGCACTCCTATTTAGCTATATCTTCTAATCGATTTGCACATGGCATGATTTTTGTGCGCCATATCCCTCAAAAGCCACGATTTTATCGTCAAATTGACCTGCTTAACCTTTGAATGTCCACCAAAGAAGCGTTTCGTATCCAAATCGTTTGGCAAAGTGCACCGTGATCGAGATAAGCGGATGCTCCGTCACGTCTTTTGTCAATTACGAGCACTTGTCAATTCTCCGGTGCCGCTTATTACAAATATGATGCACGTGGCTAAGCGCACTTTCGTGTACGCCATTAAAGTAAGCCATTACCAAGTTTGTCTTGAATGAACTTAATATGACACCACTCTAGATGATGGAACATCTACTGATGTCCTTTTCTGAGAAATCGATACGCTACATATGACGGCAGTTGCGTTATATGGTGGGGCATTCGAGGCAGTAGCCCTTGACACTTAAATCGAGCGGGCTTTGTCATCATTGCTCGGAACGTGTGAACGGGCTTACAGCGCGAACAACGTAAAAGGTCTTATCAGTGCGTGTACGATACTGCGTTGGTCTTGAGTAATTACCGTGCAAAGACCACGAATAGAGGTACGAGCCGGACTAACAAGTATTTATTCGGTATCCTTTGGTACTTCAACTTCTTAATGCAAGCTGACAAGGTCAGTCACGCTAAAGCGCGTTTTAATTGTCATTATAGCTTGCTAAGTTGGTTGTAGCCTTTACGTAGGCGCTACAAGGGCTAGACAATGCCATCGGCGGCACCAAGGCCTGCTACCTTTAAAATAATGATTATTTTGTTGCTGCAACGAAATCAAGAGAGACGTATTTGAATGGCAGCGCACGAAAGAGTAAACAAAAATGGCGGGTCTGAGGAAAATGGGCTATTACTCCACTGTCCGAAGTTTTGGAGGACCATGATTTGGGTTCATCCTGCCCAGTCATACTAACGGAAAGAATCGAAGCGGGTAGAACGGGTCATGAACCGGTTACTTGAACTCATGGCTCTTAAAATAACAAAAAAAATTTGATCAGACCTGCTGAGTGTCGGCTCGATTTCGAACTAAATCTACCGGATCCTTGCAATATGCGAACTTAATAGATTTGGGGCCCATTAGAAGTAAGAAATGAGTACAACGGCGACGAAAGTAAGTCAATCTGACGAGCGTTAACTCTTCTGTCAGGCTTCGGGTGCTCAAGAGTACAAAAATAGGCTGTGCAAACCACGTGTCGGATTCGATCGAATAAAAGCAGAGTAAAGTAGCAAGAACAGACCGACGACACTAAAAATTGTAACGCAACAAATGAGGTAGTCATCACAATGTCTCGCTAATATACCCCATTATCATAAATTGGCCAAAGCTTTTCAAATTTTTTCAAAAGATAGTCAAAACAGAAATGTTGGTCTTTTTGTCTAAGCGCAAACGATTTTATTTCGAAGTGTGAAAGATGTCACATTTACCTGCTGAATACACCGACCAGACACATCCAGCGATTGCGCAACCGATACTAAGCACAAATTTCTTACATTGAGATTTAACTTTAACAGGTTCAATACAAATATAGAGGGAATGGTTGTCTACACACTCACTTTTTGCTATCTGAACACCCCTCATAACGGGACCCAATAAGTGTTATCATTATTGGCTTATAGGGAAGGAGCTACATGCACTAAAATTACCACCTCGGGGCGAATCATAATCCTTTAACAGACAGACTTTTGCTATTTCAGGTGTAGCTCCCAGTAAATAGACGTACATAACAAATAATTTTCAATCGTCATGTGCGGACGAATCGTACTCATTACACTGTACGCATTCAGTTAAAAAGGCTAGTCCGTTATCACAAAACATTGCTAAACGATACATCTTATCAATTGTATCATAAATTACGACAAGTACGAGCCACGGTAACACACTGACGTAGTTCAAACGGAATTGCCCCCCAAAAATATCACTAGCACCAATACACGGATGTATTTGCTTCCAGACATGACGTCATCTGCTAGTTGTAGGACGTGCAGCAGCCAAAAGAACCTACCTTAACTTCGCTAAAGTTTAAGTAGAAGCTTCACTGAGATTTTTTAACATTTAGTATAAAAGCGTCCCAAAAGTTTTTACTAGTGCTAAAGTTAAGCGCATTGTCGTGGTATTGGTAAGTCGGTATTTGCTGCTAGCAACGTGCAACTAACTCGTCCGTCTTCGAGATGTCGTGTGTACACATCTTTCTCACCATATTATTAATCTATATCTGCCGTATTGTACGCAAAAATGTTACGCGTGTTTAGATCGTTTCCACTCTGATGTGACCTTCCAGCACAAGGCATGTAACGGGGCACTGGTCAGTAGTACTGCTTCATTACCCAAGCATCTATCCTGACACCATTGTAGGTATGGCCGCGCGTCACTTCACGTACACTGTACGTGAAGATGAAGGCTAACTGATGATCGACGCACTCAATAAGATTAAAAAGTTTAACTGTTTTAAACATTATTAGGTCCTAAATACATCTGCCTATGTTTATACTGAACTCATTATTTTTATCTATAAAATTGTAAGCTAAAATCTTGCTCGCCAATCACTGCGCGCGTCCTTCGATGACTAGACCACTAGAGCTGGCTGATATGATGAGCCATATCAGCCAATTGGGAGCGTTTCTAAATTTACTCCATATGTAATATTCACATAGATTCTCAACCTTAATAACAAGATTATGCTTTACAAGTGTCAAGGTTAATCACATGTAACAGGCCCTCTCTGTTTATCATAACCCTTATTTGAAAATTTTAAATTGTTCTAAAGGACTAAAAATAAAATTTGTTAGTTGATTACCACCCCACCAACATACAGCTTCAAAAAATAATTAACAAACATCAACAAATAACGATAGTCACTCAGTCACTATCATATTATTGTAGTCATGGTTAGACCGCACCGGAGACAGAAAGAACTTGTTTTGGTTTGATCTATTCATTTTTTGGATCTTCGTTGTATGGTGATCAACTCCATGGGTAGTGCGGCGGAAGCTGCTCACATAGTTGCTATTGACGATGCTTAGCTTCTCGTGGCAGACGATGTTTTTTTTTCTGCTTCTGTTGCGAATCTTTCTGCTGCACCAAAAGCTGCAGAGGCACTCGTTGAGTTACCATTTGCAAATAATAAGGGCTTCCAAGTGTATCTCATCTTCTAGGTAGAGTCATACGGTGGGTCGGAATTGAAGAAGACGCCTAGGTCTCCCGAGTCTGAAAGGAAGACCGATTGCAAGCCTAGGAATAGGATTCGAGCGGGTAGTCAGGCTCATGGTCACTACAAGAGCCCGTTTAGCTTGGAGAATGAACAGTCTAACTCAACTCAACTAATGCTCTTGCTACTGCACATTCGCTTCCTGGAGAATATGGTGATGTGCTGCAACGTC